GAATATTTTGCAAAAATAAAATTTTTATTCCTAGAAAGAAAAAATAAAAATAAAAATAATCTTTTCAAATAATTTTAAATGGAATCTACCAAACTATTGAAAAATTTCATAAATAAATTTCAAAAAAAAAAAAAAATTTATCTGCCAAACTATTGAAAGATTTGTTTATTGAATTAAGTCATACCGAAGTATTGGGAGACTTAATGGACTTTCTCAAAAAAAGAAAAATAAAATTTTTGTAAATATTTTTTACAATAAAATCTCACCAAATTATTAGGAGTTTTGTCTCAAGGTAAGTCCTACCAAACTATTAAGAAACTTATTGATTTTTTTTGAATAAAATATATTAACAAATCTGACGACGAAGCCTTTTTAGAGTGGGACACTAGTCTCCATGAATATTCTTGAGATGAGAGAATTATCTTAAATTACTACCGAACTATTGAGGTAATTTTGAGATTAATTCTCAATATTAAATAGTTTGGTAAAGCGTGAATATTTTTAAGGCTTGGATAATTTAAAATCAAATTGGTACCATCTTTGGATGGGCACTATGATGATGTTATAACTTTTTCATGCTTAATCGTATTCTCAAGCCTAAATTTGGTTCATGGATCAGATTTGATTAGGTGACCAATCACACCTACACAAAAAAGATTGGTGGTAACTCTTCTAATCTATGTCTAACAGTAAGTCCACCAATCTATACGTTATGATAAGTAATTGACTTCCCGATAAGGATAGTTGACTACCTTACGTTTTTTCTTCTTCTAGAATATGGCCATTCGGATGCTTACATAACGCATTCAAATGCTTACCTTCTGACTCTCAATTTTTGTCATTCTTAGATAGGACAATTGATTACCTTTGAAGGGTAGTTGATTGGTTTTTTAAATAGAATGCAAAAATTCAAATACTTTCTTTTAGAAAATCAATTTCTCACTTTTTTGGGTAGGGTAATTGGTTGTTCCTCAAGGGCAATCAACAACCCATGCAATCAACTGCCCATGCCTATTTTTCTATCAAAATATCAATTGCTCAAGGATAATTGCTAAGGCAGTCAACTCCTCAAAGGTAATTGACTGCTCCCTCTTTACTTCATTCCAATGATTTTTTTTACTTCAAAAATATCATTTTTTTAAATACACATTACATACTAAATGATTTTAAAACAATGTTTTCATTTTAATAATCTTTATAAAACATTTCTTAGGTAATATATGCAACATAACGAACACAAATAAATAACTCTCAAAATTATTTTGGCTAGATTTCAAAATTAAATTTAAGAAATGATAAATTTATGATGTATTTAAATGAGAATGATTTAAGTAAATTGAATTATAACTTATTTATATAAAAGTAAGAATATTGAATATTTAGAAAAGAGAAAATATAATTAATTTAGTAGAAAAAAACTTTTATCTTGTAGTCATTTTGAAAATAAATGTAAAATGTAAAAAGAAAAAATAATAATTTGTTGTATGAATATTTTAAAATTTAAATCAAATCAAAATTACAATAATTAATGTAGACACATGGTATTTATTTTATACTGTAATATGTCAAAAAAATAGACAAATCACGTTGAATTTTTTCTTTTATTGTTAAAGATTTTGGTTTTTATACATTTATAAAAGACTAATGCAGGACACATGGTGTTCATTTAATACTAATACATGTTAAAAGAATAGATAATTTACATTAGATTTTTTTTTCCCAAAGGTTTTGACTTTTATATATTTATATAAAATTAGATAATTACATTAAGTGATAAAACTATTATTAATCATAATATATATAGAATGATAATGTTCTCAACAAATGCAAAAATTTGTCCCGAAAGTTGAACCACATAATGTTAAAAAAATAGTATACACTATCTTAAACTCAAATTTTCAAACTCAAAAAACCCAAAATGAACCTTCAATTGAATTTTAAAAATAATTTCTCCAAAGTAACATGACAATAAAACAATCAACATATTATAATTCATGAATGACAATAAAAAAATATAATTAATAATAAACAATCACATAAAGATACCAATTAAAAGAACAAAAAAAAAAAAAAACACTTGTTTTCTTCACTTGTACCTGTTGATTTTCTTTGATGCATGATATTTCTATTACCTCTATATTCTTCTGTTTCCACATCTTTGATTGGCATTCCTTCAATTTCCTCATTTCCTTTCATTGTTTATTATTAGATTTTTTTTTCTCTTACAAATCTCAAGCGCAAGACGCAAAACAAATCCTAAATTAAAAAATATATATATATATATATATATATATATATATATCGTTGGCTACAGCACTTTTCCATCACCTTTCTCAAATATTCTCCTTAACTTTCCTCCTTTTAATTGTTCAACAACTAAAATTTTCATTGTTTTAAAACCCCAAACTAAATTTAGAAAATTAAAAAAGGATGGAAGATACAAGAGAGAAAAAGATTGGGAGATTGCCGTAGAGGGAAAAAAATTAGTTTGTCCTTTTTTAATAAAAAATTCAAAAAGTAACTTTTGGCAAATAAAAAAAAGGTGAAAGTAGAAGGGATTATAAATGTTGATGTAAAGGAAAAAAAACAAAAGAAAATGAAAAAGTAAATGAGATTATAAATGCCGATCTAAAAGGGCAAAAAAATAATAGGTGCCATTACAGATTTTGCCTTTGGGATAAGAAAAAAAAAAGAGATAAAAAAAAATTATGAGACGTGATAGCTTCAGTTCTATAGCATGATCGATTCTCTGGCATAAAATTGAAAGAGAAAGAGACAAAAAGAGACAAAAAAAAGAGTAAGAGCATAATACGCTGATGCTTTTAGAAGAAGTCAAGATTTAGTCAAAATTAGTAAAACTACTTTCACTCTACTGTTTCATTGGTAATTCCCTCTGTGCTCTACTGTCTTTCGTTCACTCTTTAGTTGACATGGAAGCTTTAGTGCCACGTTCAAGCTACAAGCAGTGAAAGCAAGTCAAGCAGTGCCAGATGCTGATGAAATAGCGGCTTAAACGGATCCATCTTCTTGAATTGAACTCCTACCCGGCGGTGACATCGCTAGCCTTTGGGCTTTTAGTGTTGACTGATTTTCTTCCTTACCTTATAGAGCTAGCTTTGTCTTCTAGGGAATTTTCTGCTCGCTACACCCCTGTGAAACTGCCCCAAGTCAAAATTCTTCAATAGCTTGATCTGACCGTCTAATGGAAGAATTCTATTAATATTTCATTTCCTGGTTAGAGCTTAAAAAGCATTCCCCTGGAGCCTGAACCCCGTCAAAGCTAGCCTTCCTCAATCCCAGTCGCATTCGATCTAGAATTCTTCTTCTTCCCCGGCGGAACTACCAACATTTCATTTCGGCTTCGCTAAAAACACCTGGGCTATGCCTCAAACTCTCTTAACTGGCCCAGGGGTTAACTAATCTCCGCATCAAGGAGAAGAGCAGAGAGATTTGTTGAAGACAGCACGGCAATGCGTAATCGCTAAACAAGACCACAAAAGCTATATCACAAAGATCAGTCTAACTAATCGGCCTAAGGCTTCTAGAGACGCTAACATTTTGCATATCTTACATATATATATATATATATATATAATGTAAGATGTAAGATGTAAGATGTAAGATTTGTCATTATATTTTGTTTTTTTGTTTTTTTTTTTTTTATGACTTTGGACCACACATAATATAAATGGAATATTTCATTAAATTGATTTATTAGTATATTTAATATTAATTTTGAATAAAATAAAATATAATGTGCATATTTAACATGTACAATTATACACCTAATGTGCCTAGAAAAATTATTTTTGCTTTTTTGTGATATTTATACTAAAATAAATACTTTTCCAAATATTAATTTTAATGAAGTTTTTACAAATTAATTCTAATTTATCAAGTAAAAAGAAGTATTATAAAATATATAAAATGATTTTTTTAGGAAAAAAGAGAAATTAAGCTCGGTTTGATTGGTTCTTTTATTTTTTACTTGTTGCTATTTATCATTTGTTTTTAATTCATTTTGCATTTTTTACTTTTCACTTTTTTATTAAAAACCAAAAAGTAAAAATTACAACCAAGCCCAAATGAGAAAAAAAATAAAGAAAACAATGGAAAAGAATTAAGATGGAAATTAGAATAAAATATTTTAATATCTTATTACTCTAATTTTTTATCATACTTTTTGATAAATTATAATTAGTTTAAAAAATTTAAATTTAATATTTAAGAAGTGTTTATTTTAGTATAAATTTTATAAAAAACAAATAATAACTTTTTAACGTGGCATTGTACATTTTTACATGTTGAATATTTTTTATATTTATTTTAAAATTAATATGAAATATTTTAATGAAATTTAATAAAATATTTCACTTTCATTAAATATAATCCAAAATTATCAAAAAAAAAAAAATATTAATCCAATTAAAATGCAATGATAAATTTCAATTCTCACTTGATGACAAACTTGTCTTTTAAACCATTATTTTGGTAAAATTCAAAGTAAAAAAATTTCAATAAAAAAATAAAATAGTGAAATTTTTTTTGAAAAATAATAAATCAAGTAATTTGTATATTTGTATCTTGTAAAATATTAATAATTTATATATTTATATAGTATTTATATAAAAATTATGTATTATAATTTATATTTACATAAAAATATAAAATATATATTTTTTGTTTTAATAAATTTATATATAATTTTTATTAAAATTTTAAATCATATTATTTTTATATTTATTATTTATATTATTTTCATATTATTTTATAATATCATATTTTAAATTATCAAATTTATAAAATAAAAAGGAAGTTAACACTCAAGTCACCGGCCATCATCAACCTCCCAAGATTCAAACGTGCCAAGCTCAGAAATGCGAGGTAGGACATTCTTTGATACACTAATAAGTGGGACTATCAACCCCACCCAAAAATTTCATTTTGAGCAGCTTACTAATAAAATTTGAAAAAAGAAATCCAAAAATAAAGAGAGGCAAAGAGATCTATCGAAAACAGAAAAAAAAAAAAAAAAGGAAAAAACGGAAAATATATATTTTCCCACGCTTCCAATAAGAAAAAAAAAAACGAGACCAGCTCTCCTTTCTCCGATCTGATCGGACCTCCCGCCTACTTTTCTTATTTTTTGTTTCAATCTTTTCGTTTCATTTTGGGGTTTTTTTTTTTTTGGTTTACTTTCAAAATTTCAAATTCACCTTACCGTTACCAATTCTTTCGTATTTTTTCTCGCTCATTTATCGAATTTCGTGTCTAGTGATCTGCTTGGAATCTTTATTCTTGGGGGTGATTTTCTTCCTGGAATCTTTGTCGGTGAACTCGAGAATTTGTTAATTTCAGTTTTTGTTTTTGGTTTTTTTTTTCAATTGGCATTTCTTTTGTGAATTATTGGGGGTGAGAATTGGGGTTAGAATCGTTAGATTGGCGAGATTTTGACGGGGTTTTTGGGAAATGGCGTCGGCTCAGGTCTTGCCTAGTTCGCGGAAACAAGAACATTTAGAAGCTGGGAAGCGTCGGGTACTTTTTTTTTCTTTTCATTCTTAATTTTTTTACTTTAAGTGGTTTCTGTTTTAACATATGATTTAAATTTTCTGGGCATATGTAGTCAGTGATTTAGGATACCGATTTCAAAATAGGACAGAATTGAGGGTATATTTTGGTATTTTCATGTATGATCTGTAGTATGTTTACATTGTTTAGCAATGTTTTGGTCGATCATGGCTGGAATTTACTTTTTGTTAGATTACTCCTTTGGGAAGTTTTAATGCTTTTTTATGTCTTAAATCTTATCTTTGCAAATCGTGTAAGGTGATGCCATTGGAACTAAAATAGAGAATCGGCCTGTGTTTTAGTTTTCTTAAATTAGATTTGTGAGTTTATTTGTGCCATTACGTTTGAATGGAGAGCAATGCTAGGGTTTGTATTCAAGCTAGAAAGGATGAGGAAGCTCCATTTGACACTTTAATAAAAGCAATGATTTCAAAAGAAGAGTGTATCTTAGTTGCGTTACTGATAGCATTGGAGTTTAAAGTTGCTGTTATGCTTTTGTTCCTGAGTGATGTGTCTTAGCGCCGTTTCGAATTTGTGTTGGGTTGGACGAGTTCTGGTTGTATAGAAATTTTCTTTTGATTTGTTCAGGTCACACTTTTATGTGGGCATTGGTTGACCAATTTTTGTATTCATTCCATTTTTTACTAATTAGGGCTCAAAAACAAAAAGAACTCCCATTTTAGAGTTGTATGTTTTGTCTCTGAATGCGGCATTTTGTTACATAGTTGATAAGTTAATATCCTCCTAAATAATCCTGTTGGTTGATTGGATTTTGTATAGTTATTACTCTGGATTTATGCCTACAATAACAGTTTCAGTTATAGGTTTTTACTAAAATGGAATTTGTAAAAGAACAAAAAATTCTTTGGTGTGTACATGCCCTGTACTGTTACAATTCATACCTCCTTCTATCTTGCAGCTTGAGGAATTTCGTAAGAAAAAAGCAGCTGAGAGAGCCAAGAAAGCAGCATCTACCACCCAAAATCATGCTTCCGATGTTAGCTTAAATGATAAACAGCAATTAGAAACTGAACATGTGCAAGTCACTGACTCAGATGGTGCTGGTACATCTGATGGAGCCGATCCCTCTTCCGTAAAAATAATTAACAACAACAACAGTAAAACAACTGAAGTTTCCTGTGAAAGTCAGCAAGTTTACTTGAGCAACATGCATTCTATCCCATCTTTTGTAGTGAATGATTATAATTCGTCTTCTAAAGATATGCAGATGCATGCAAAAAGTCAAGAAAATGAGAAATATGGTGCTTCATGGAATGATGGACCATTGTTTAATGATAGCATACAGACAGAACATATGAGTAATGACTTTCAAGAACCCAAGTCAAAAGAATATGATGGTTCTTTGAAGGTTTCTGCAGTTTTAAATCCAAGTTCTTCTTCTGAAGATTTTGTAACTAAAATATCTCCACAGAATTCACAGCAAAGTAAGGCTAGTGAAGGCAGCTTGCCAGGTGGTGGTCATTTCCTATCTTCTTTCTATGAAGGTAATGTTGAATTTATGAATTCTTATTTTGAATATGCTTGTTTATACATTATATGACAAGAATTTCTATTTATCTATGTTTTAATAATTTTCTTTTGCTTAGGAACTGACACAGTATTTTATGTTCTGCGTTTTACTTGCAGACTCTGCTCAATCTACCTCAGGTGCAAGAGGTTCTATCCTTGAAGTTGGGCAGAATGTACAAGGCAATGCAGAATTTAGGGAACCTATGATTTCTGATTTTGGTGAAAGAAAATTTAGTAGTTCATCCAGTGGTTTTCCAAGTGTGCATGTTCCACCCATCCAAACATCTGGACCTTCAGAGTTCAGTTTTGATGCCAGAAGTTCCTCAAGTCATGTGCCACAGTATTCAGTTGCAAATGATACTAGTTCTAGGAGATCTCGTCCATCTTTCCTTGATTCTCTAAATGTATCCAGAGCTTCTTCTGGGTCTCTTTTTCAACATAATCAACCTACAAAGGTAGCATTTGCCTCCCATAGTTCACAGTTTAACAGCATCAATGCCATAGGATCATCCCCTTTTGAGAAACCATCAATAGAGAGTGAAAATGTGGGAACTTTATCCAAGCTTTGGTCCCCCGATTTTCCTATTGCCAGTGAGTATTCTGATCATTCTTTAGCTCCTGCTAATAATAATGGTGACCTCTTGAAGCTGAATGTTGCTAATGCGAATATCTTGGAGAAGAAGCCTGAGTTCTACTCAACCAAACAGAATGAGGATTTTGCAGCTTTGGAGCAGGTAGTCATATTTTTTCTCATTGAGGTAGCTATAGGTGCCACTCTTTCCAACTTTCTAATGATTCTTGTGTTTTCTGGTTCATCCCTTGTGTGCATTCTACCATGTGTAATAATGAGTTCATTAGTCACATGAATATATATTTTTGAAGTGCACTTTTTGATGCCTTAGAAATATGTCATCAATTTATTGTTCCTTTATGGTGAAACAATTGATAAGTATTTTTGCATCCTTAGATCTCTGGTTTGTGTTTACCATCTTGTCTTTTGGGGTGCGTGAACTGGAATACAGTGTGGTTTGGTTGGGGAATTGGTAAGTTTGGATATCAAGAGGCAAGGAAGAGTAGACTCTTGAGCATTTTAGTTAGTATGCCCTGTTTCATACTTGATGCCTAATGACTTGTTGGTATCTTAGAGATGAGCAAATAATAATGGCTGGTCAAAGATCTCAAGAAAGCCATTGAGATGAAACCTTCCTTCTATATTTTGATGTTTTTAGTACATTATCACAGGTACCTTTTGATGTAGAAAACTATACTTTTTCATATGTTGTTTATCACATTGGTTCTGTTTATTGACATTTTCCTGGGCATCATTGTTTTGACTTTCTTTATTAATTTATTTATTCTTACTCTGCAGCATATTGAAGATTTGACACAGGAAAAGTTTTCACTGCAACGAGCTCTTGAGGCCTCACGTACATTAGCAGAATCTTTGGCTGCTGAAAATTCATCTTTGACAGATAGTTATAATCAACAGGTTTGTTTCCGAATATGATATTTGCAGCATCACTAGCGTGTCATGGTCATAGTATGTTTGTCTGTCAGTACATCGTGTTTCTTAATTGCAGCTTCCTTTATGAAATTATGAAAAGCAGTTAGGTTCTGTTTGTTTTGCAAAAAATGACATTTGGAAAATAATTTCTGCAAAATGTTTACATTTTCTGAATTGAAAGAGATTTTTTGTTGTTTGGATAAGCTAATGAAAAATATTTTCCGTTGTTTGGTTGTTTTCTAGAAATTTTTTTTCAAATAATATTAATATAACTATTCAAATATTAAAAATTATTTATTATTAAAATATATTAATATTAAAAAATAATTATATTTTTATAATAATATTTAATATTAAAATATTATGTTAATATAAAAAATACTTAAAATAAAACTATTTATTATTTTTGATATTATTTATTAATATATTATAATATTATTTATTAATAATATTTTTAATATATATATTAATAGTATATTATTTATTAATATATTATATTAATAGTAAATTATTTATTAATAGTATATTATTTATAAATATATGATTTATTAATATAATATGATTTATTAATATATTAATATATTACTTATTAATATATGATTTATTAATATAATATTATTTATGAATATATTATAATATTACTTATTAATATTATTTATTAATATATTATATTAATAGTATATTATTTATTTATATAATATTATTTATAAGTATAATTTATGCTCAAAAGTATTGATAAATAGTTTTATTTATAGACAGTTTTTTTGGGGAAAATATCTTCTCTTTTTCAAATCTGTAAGACAATTTTCAAAAAAATGACCTCATTTTTCATTGATCAGGAAGTTATTTTTTGTTGACCAGTTTGTTTTTCACCAAACAAATACCTGAAAATACGGAAATCATTTTCCAAAGTCATTTTCCGTGAAAAAAATGGAGCCTTAATGTCATTTCATTGTTCCAATCATTATTTTCAATCCTTTTTATAAATTATCAACAATTCTTTTTATCCCCAGAGAAGTGTTGTCAACCAGCTAAAATCTGACATAGGGAACTTACAGGAAGAAATCAAGGCCCAACTGGTTAGTATTTTGTTATATTTAGGGTACTTGTAGTCGGCTCAAGTTTTTGGGAAACATTTGAATCTTGTGTGACTACATACTGCTTCACTTATATCATATGGTTAATGCTGGTGTGTGTGTGTGTGTGTGGTGTGTTTCATGTGTGCACATTTGCACATGGATTTTGGCCTTGTTTCTGCTTTGATAGATTTTTATCTGAAATTGAGATATCTACTACTGTCTACTGCATCTTTAGTCATACCTATTAACCAGAAAATGCAGTACAGAGAACACTGAATTTTATGAGATTTATTTATCACTTGATGCTACAATGCTACCAATGTTGCTGTGCTGCCTTTTTCCTTTAGAATGGTTCAAACAGGTTTTTAAGGTTATGTTCACCCGAATACAAGATAAAATTTCATGGTTAAGCTTGGGCAGGGGGATTTGTGCTGAGACTTTGGGTTTTGGCTTAGGGAATTGGAGATTTACAGGGAGTTTTTATAGCAATGTTTTGATGGCCATTCTTCCTCATTATAGGAAAGAAAAATAACATTCTTTTGTTTGAAGAGATATCTGTTTTACTTTTAATCTATAAAAATGATCCTCAAAGGTGGAGTTTGTCTGTTATTCCTGGATTCCACCTCATTGTTTACATAATGGCTAAGAATATGATGAAGTAAAAGCATTATATTGTCATTGCTCTTATCTTCATAGGGGAAATTAGGAAATGTTACACTGCTCAGTTTGGTGTTGAAGTTCTGCTCATGCAGTGGGTAGTTCTATAAGTCATTTGTCTGCAACAATTTTCTTTTGTTGCAAAAGAATGCTGCATAGGATGCAGCTCAGGTTTGTGCTGTATTATAAAATGCTATGCTGTAAGTGTGCCAGTCTGCATTTTATTTTCTCATGTTCTTTGTTTGATGATGTTTGAATGGGTGGGGGAGCTTTAGATGCCACAAATACTTTTTTTAAATGTTATTGACATTTTATTTCAATATATTCTTTTGCTGTTTTCTTGCTATGCCTGTTGTTTGATATTTGCAGGCAGAGCTTGAGTCTTTTAAAATGGAATATGCAAATGCACGACTGGAATGTAATGCAGCTGATGAGCGTGCCAATATATTGGCTTCGGAAGTCATTGGTTTAGAAGAGAAGGTAACAAATATTTTAGCGAGTAAAGATCTTCTTCCTTTTCTGGTATCATTCTATTCATTGCAAAACTTCTACCTCTCTAGATAATAATTCTGAGAAAATGGCAAACTTCCATGTCTATATGTGAATGGTTATAATATGTACTACACATGAAAGGTGTATTTTGTACATGTAATAAAGCTGAAATGTTTTAAGTGTCAGTTTAACTTGAGTGGCTCTCTACTCTTTTTTTTTTTAATATTGATTCTAACTTGTTAATTTGCTTGTTTTAACATTTAATAAAGGTGAAAAAATTATCAGCATTTGGATTATCTTCTGCTGAATATATTTCTGTATAAAGTTGTTGATGCTGGAGTAGCATCACTTTTGGCATCTGTTAGATCAAAATGTTGTTTTTTTTATGTCCTTTTTGTAGGCACTTAGATTAAGGTCGAATGAGCTAAAATTGGAGAGGCAATTGGAGAACTCACAGGCTGAAATTTCTTCTTTCAAGTATGCTATAATTTTTCTTTGCTAAAGGACTTGTGATCTATATTTTCAGCATGAGTTGATTTCTTATTTCTTCTCCATAGTTTCTCCAATTATGTATGCCTTCTGTGTTTAAAAGTAATTCTGTAGATTGTAATGCTCATGCTTAATTACCTGGTATTGAATCAAAGAAGGTTATTGCTGCCATTCTAAACCAGTGCTTAGATTGTCTATGAAATATTTATCCAATTAAAGTTTTACTATTAAGTGGTCATGGCAAATGTATGCAAAAAGTAAAAAGAAATACAAGAAACAAAAAGTGAAAAGTTTGCTTGTTAAGTGTTTAATCAATGCATTAAAATCATTAAAGATGACATATAGATAAGTCAGTTTTATTTGCATTTAAGATCTGATTATGCTATGTCATATTTTACCTAAAAGCATGCTTTGGTTAGTGACAATAGGAGGGTCGATCCCTCAATATGTTTGGATTTTGTTTTCCATTAAATACTATATGTATAAACCACTTTGTTTTTTGGTATTAAGTTTTGCTGCTTATGCCATGTAAGTTACTGTTGTCAAGTGCCACATGAATAGACAAATTATTTATGGTTGTCATTTATTAGAAATAAAGAAAAAGAAAGGAAGAAGAAAAGAATTGTTGGTGGTGGTGGGGGGGGGGGGGGATAGTGTTATAGTTATTTGCTTTTTGTTTCCATGAACTAATAAATTTTGAGTTTTTGTAGTTTTACCTGGGGAATTTCTTTGATTTTGTTTCTTCCATTTGCTAAAATATTATCATGGATTAGACTTTTGTTTGAATATATTTTCTTGTTAAGTTCACTGATAGTTATAGGGGGCATCTTATTCCTTCTGAATCTCGCAGAAAGAAAATGTCAAGCTTAGAGAAAGAGCGTCAGGATTTTCAGTCAACTATTGAAGCTCTTCAAGAAGGTAAGTATGCCAATATTAGTTGTGTTTGTTATTATAGTATTTAATTATATATAAGCTTTTATATTTTTGACTATAATAGCCATATATTTGCTATGCATTTTTCTTATTCATTTAACTCAGAAAAGAAAGTACTCCAGTCCAAGCTACGAAAAGCTTCTGCCAGTGGAAAGTCCATTGATGTTGTCAAGAATCCTACCAGTAAGAAGGATATGTCAACTTCAACAGAAGATCTAGGTAATTGTCGCTTTTTTGATTTCTACATACATAAATTGTCTGGTCTTATTTTACTGAACTAAAATCCAGTTACATATGGCAGGAAACTGCTAAGCCTATTCCCAATTCCAAAACATATTATTGGTCAGAGACTCAGTCATATGAATTTTATGCAAAGTCAATTTTCACTTAATATTGGTCTACCCTTACAAGTTGAGTAGACAGATTGAAGCTTAGTGAGATGTAGAAACAAAATTTCTTCTTGCAGGTCTATAATGTTTTAACTTTGATTAGAGGGTTTGGTTATCTGGAATTTCTTGTATGGTATGTCTTGTAGAGGTTGTTTGGTGCATGAAATTAGGTGTACTATTATTATTTACATAATCTTAAAGGGATGGACTTCTAGTTTTTATGCATGCCTTGACACCTTTAAGTGCTGATGGTGGAATATTACTTTTAAATTCCAAACTTGAGTTACCAGGTAATCTATTCAAGGAATCACTTATTGACACATAATAATGTAGGATATTGCAAAAAAGTTTCTCTGTTTTTTCTGTGATCTTCTAGAAACTGTCAGGGATAACTTTCAGATATTTATTGTATCAAATATTCAAATTGAAAACATAAATAAAATCATAAATTCTTTATTGGAAGCATTTGGTCTTGTGCAAGATTCGGAGTAGGTAGTTATCAGGATGACGATAAGTTACTTCAGCTCTTGAATTTTTGTAATGAATTTGTATCACATGAGTCAGATGCTTCAAAGTATGCATGGATATAAGCATATCATCCTATATAGCTGTACAAATAAGGAAACTTAAGGAAAATTGAAAGTACTTGTGCCAGAACAATAGCAACATCCATATTCAAACTTGAGTTTTGAGTTACATAAAAGGAAAATCGAATATATAATCGTTGCACTGAATCAAGATGCCAGTACTTAAAAGCAATCATTAGAAGTCTGATAAGCAATTATGGTAGTGATAGCGCTTTTTTAAAGTTGCTTTGATTTTCTATGGGCCTTTGTATTAATGTTGATTTTATTTACTTAACTCTTGCAGCAAGCGCGGACACTACTTCTGATGACAGGGAACTAAATAACAGCAATGATGCCTTTAGTTTGAGCTTGCTCCCTGAAGATGGACAATTTGAAGTTTCTTCTGTTTATATTCCTTCTGATCAAATGAGAATGATTCAGAACATTAATTCTCTAATTTCTGAGGTAGCTTCTGTTACATGATTCAGGTTTTCTGGTGGCTTTTATATGGTTTATCCTTGTTTAATCAAGAAACCAAGTTGTTGAAGTTGGTGGCCAGTCTCTGTCATGATCAATGGATGACCTTTTTCTTGTTGCAGTTAACATTGGAGAAAGAAGAACTGACACAAGCTTTGTCATCTGAGTTATCTCAAAGTTCAAAGCTGAAGGTAATTTTACCTGAACTAGGCATATAATCATAATTTTCGAGTTATTTGTATGAGTCTCATTTAGTTCTTGGTGCTAGGCATTGTATAAGAATTTACAGAAAGTTTCTAAAAGAAAAAATTTTCAACTAGAAAGTGGAATTCGAGGACATCTTTGTTTATCAAGGCTCCTTTCTTTTAGTTAGAGCCAGCTAATTAGCAGCCCCAGATTATAAGCATTATTATATTTCATGAGTTTTCTGTTAGAACTATATTCCTTTTTCTTCAATTAGGTCATTTGATCATTTCCAAACTTTTTCAAGGGCTCATTAAATGTTGATTGTTTCTACTTTTAATTTCTAATGTTCTTTTGAATGATTGTTTTTTATTGACCATGTCCTTGTCATTGTTATTGATGAATGAAGGAGTTGAACAACGAGTTATCCAGGAAACTTGAAGCTCAAACTCAAAGATTAGAGCTTCTGACAGCTCAAAGTCTGGCAAGTGAGCATATCCCAGCTAGACAACCCGAATCTCGGATAATGCATGATAATACTCCATATGCGGATGAGGGTGATGAGGTACCACTTCTCTCTCTCTCTCTCTCTTTTATTCCTATTCTATTGTATGTGGTTATTAATAGTATCGCTCATTTGGACTTTAAGCCATCATATAAGAAGATTGAGCTTGCTGTATATGTTATTGTTAATCCAACTATTGATGAAAATTGAACAAGGAAATGCTTTGCTGATAACAGAGATATCTAGGACTTTCGAACCATTAAACTCTAAAAACATTTTAATTTCCTTGTAGGTGGTGGAAAGGGTCTTAGGATGGATTATGAAGCTCTTTCCTGGTGGGCCATCGAGACGGAGAACCAACAAGCGTCTTTCATATTGAATCCATATATCTTGGCATATGCTTTTGTTCGGGTTTGCCTTCCCTTGTTTTGATGATGCGAGGGAGGTCGTGATTTGTATATTTTGAGTCAATGATACAACCCATTCTTTTTGATATCAGGAAAATGAGTTTATCTTGATGGTTGTTACCATTGGTTGGCAAAGTCTAATTGCCAATTATTTGAGAAGGCAATAAAGAAGCCCCTTGTTGAAGTCGATTGGTTCTGGTTTTTGGGATCAAATTTTGATGGGGCAATCAGTCAATGTTGAAAGGAACTAAGAGACAATTGGTATAGGAAAAGAAGCACGTAAGTTTGAAGTGTGCATTTGTCGTATTGGTTAAACAGATCAACAAATTTCGCTGCTTAATCATTAGAATTTAAAACAGTTGATTCTATTCTGTTGTCTTGACTGTGTTTAGTCCAAGGCTTCTAGCCTTCGATACATATCCTTAGGCCATAAAAAATGGCCTTTGGTGCAATATCTATGTCTACTTTTCGGAATTCCATCATTAAAATTTCATACCAAATTTGATTTGATGTTGCTGTTCTTACTTTTAAATATATAGCTGATTATTAGCGTTTTTTTTTTTTTTTTTTTTTATTGAAAATGTTTAAGCTGTATATTCTTACAATGTAATGTAATACACGTTTTCATGCACTTAACTAATTTTTTGAGGGCTAATTGAAGTTTTTTATTATATAAGGTGATATATTTGTATTGCGTTTATTGTGTCAAATATAAAAATTAAAATGCTAAATTTGTTTCACACGTTAAATGTGAAATTTTTTTTTTTTCAGTTTTTGTCAAATTTATGTAGATTTTTTTTAATTTTTAATTTTTTTATTTTCATATTATTTTAAAATTATCGCGTTAGGCCTACTAAAGTTGTATACTTCCATGAAAAGAGTCAGCTAAAGTTGTAGGCTTCCATGCAAAAGTATCGATTTTGTTTGAAAAAGTTACTAGATAATTTGGGCATCGATAATGTGAAGTTTAAATATTTTAGTGTATATATTAGATAAATTTTCTAGAGGATTGGGTTTGGGAAGTTTATTTCTTTAAAAATCCAAAACTTAGATTTAAGAAAAATGAAAATATAAAATCCAAATCACTTAATCAAGCTTTAATAGAAATTGTTTCCCTTGAAAACTTAAGTGTTGTGGAATATTACCAACTTACTAGGAGAAGGCAAATCACAAATGTTTTTAAGGTTTAGATTTAGTATTGATGTGGTGGTTGAAAAAAATGTGTTAAAAGTATGATTTAAAAATTGTAATAAATATTTAATGTTATTGTGAAAAAGCTAGGTGATTAATTGCAATATTTAAAAAGATATATATAAAATAGTAAAAAATCTATAAAAATTACAATCCAATGCAAAAATACCTTTTCTTTATTTTTTTTTAAATTTGGATTTGCAAATTAAAATTTTAAGCTAAAAAATAATATTTTTTATTATTCAATATTGAAATTGAATAAAAAATAATTTCAAATACAAAAAATCACTTTTATTTTTAATTCTAAATTAATCTAAAACTAAAATAGGCATTGGCATTGACAACTTGTAGTATAATAAAATTTTTTTAATTCAATACTGGTCATTTTTGTAATTTAATGAAAGAGTGTGGGAAGATAATCCATAATAAATATGTGGTGCAAACTACATGCATTTGTTCCTTTCTACTTTCTTTGGAGCTTCAGTTTCTGTGTTTCTGCTGCCTGTCATGATTTCACTCATTCCCAGTTTCTCAAGACCCATATTTTCTTATGCTTCTTCTTCTTCATCTGCTTCGAAAGGTACCCTCAAATTTTTACACTTAAAATGCACGCATTCATTCATATCGCATTTATAACTTATATATTTATTTTTATTTAATAGAGTCAGACACTAATGCAAAGAAAACAGTGAAGCTGAGAGAAGACTGGAGGAAACGCTCTAAGCCTGTACCTCCAGGAGGTATCTATCCAGCCAAAGACCATTGCAGGTTCTTTAATTTCTTTTTAACACACATCATTCTTTTTTTTTTCTTTTACTCTTTGTTTGTTGGTTTTTATTTTTGTTTGGTTTTTTTTTTTTTTTTTTTTGCTGACTTATGTGGCAGTCGGTGTGGGTTGTGTGATACATATTACATTGCGCATGTTAAGAATGCTTGTGCTTTCTTGGGAGATGGAATGTCCAAAATTGAAGTAAGTCATTCATATACTTTTTATGTTCCTTCTGCAAGTAGTCTGAGAGATTAGAAAGGGCTTGCCTTAGGACATACATAAAAAAATGTTAATAAGAAATAATGGAAGGAAGATGGTAGGTTGATAAAGCAATCACATTTTCAGAATACTAATTTAGTTATAAATATAATTTGACCATAAAACGTGATTGAAAATATTATTAGGCTTGTTATCTTGGACAATAACTATTATGAGAGCAAAGCTTTACATTAATTCCGATTTGCTTGCCCATTTTAAATTGTGAGCCAGGTTAACCATTTGACATGTCTATTTAGTTGCATCTAAATGCTCCTTTTTGAAGTGGCTGAGGCAACAACCTAATAGTAGCTTTAGCTTCCTTAGAAAAGGGAGGTCCTATGAAAGCCTTATTTCTAGGATTTACTAGTAACTTATTAAATATATTGCTTTAGGAAACTACTTTCTATTTTGCTTTAAATAGAATTTGACAGCATGTATCCCCACGGAAGACGAGTGGCATAAGTTAGTGACTTCTTGCTACCTTTTAACCTTCTTTCATTGGTTTATATGATATTCAAGTTGTCAACAAAATTATGTATTTGCCTGTTTGGTAATTTCAATTCTTTTGAATCCTATTTGATGTTTATGCAAGAAGTTTGACTAATTTACTTTAACATTCAGAGCTTAGAACCTGTAGTTCATGGTAGAGGGAGGAAATCAGATTCCATGGATGAGACATATTTAGGAGTTTATGAAAAGCTGCTATATGCTCGTAAAACTAAGCCTGTAGAAGGTATGTCTTTCTAAATTATGAAAACTTCCTATGTTCTGTTAAAGTTTTACAATTCTTTCTTTGGTGTTTTGTTGTTATGTTGTTATGTTTGTGCATCAATCCTACATCCTAATTTTACAAATAAGGGGAATATTTCTTAAGATCATCCTAAAGTAGCTTTGAGGTCAAGGTCAATATTTTGAAATACTGTTAGCAACCAGGTCTTGTTAGCTGGAATTCAATTATGAACTGTCAAAATGTTCCTTATAACTTTAAAAGTGGGTAGAAATGAGAGTATTCTGCTGAACTGAGGGAGTGGTGGGTACAATTTAAATATGCCGAGGAGGTAGATCGGTGCTAGTTTTGGAAATTCTAAAATGAAATCATAATGATCTGCCTATATGTTATGTTTTCTAATGTAGTGTACCTACATAATATGAGATTTTCTAGCTCTTTCCTTTTTTCAGCATTAAAAAACCTATTGATAAATGTAAAATGATCTGAATTAAGGTGAAATAAATGGAAAAAAGGCAGTGCATGGATTTTTTCCCCTCTTTTTATTTCTCACCATATCTTTTTCTTTAAAAAACAAATAAAGGAAAACCTTGACTGAGAAGGGTGGTGAAGAAAAGGGAGGTCATAATAATTTGTATCATCCATAATTTCGATCTTTAGCCTAACTTTCATGCAATCTGCAACTTTCTCAATTGTTAGGAGCTCAGTGGACGGGAATAGTTACAACTATTGCAATAGAAATGCTGAAAGCAGGCATGGTTGAGGCTGTTATTTGTGTTCAGAGGTAGGAACAATTATATTGATAAAGGATGAGCTAGACATGGTTTATAATTGACTATGCAATGTTATTTTGCCTTTTTGTTTTCTGAAATTTTATTATAATGCAGTGATCCAGCTGACAGATTGTCACCAAGGCCCATTTTGGCTAGGTTAGTTTTTATTGCCCTTTTCCGAATTTGAACTTACTGACTTGGTTGTGTTACCTATTTTACCTTCTGATATCAAATTTCTTCCTTTTGACTCATTGCTTGCAACAGGACACCAGATGAAGTTTTAGCTGCTAAAGGAGTCAAACCAACATTGTCTCCCAATCTGAATACCCTTGCCATGGTTGAGGTGCTTTGCATTCTTGATGCTACCTGTGGAGGACTTTATAAGCTTTATACATCATTTATGCTTAAAAACCATGGATGATGGTGTTAAGTTGTCTTTGTTAGCTTATATTTAAAAGCATTTTTTAAGTGTGTCCATTTGACTTACCTCACTCCCAACCTCCATAGAAACTGAAAAAAATAAGTGATGAAAATGCCAAAAGGGCCTAGTCAAGTAGCAAGATGAGGTGACTCATTTTTCCTATGACACTTAAAAAAGCAACTCTAATCAATGAATAATATATTTAATGATTATTATACCTTTCTGTTTTTCTTTTGTTATTTCTACCATTTGCTGATTGCTAATTTGTTGTATGTATCAAAAGCTCTCATAATTGTGTTCTTTTTTTTTTTTCCAGTGTAAAAGTTAACTGAGATTGATCGGTCATATTTTTCAATTATACAGGCAGCTGGGGTAAAGCGTCTCCTTTTCTGTGGCGTGGGGTGCCAAGTGCAGGGTATCTTTGATGCTATATACCAACAGTTTCTATTTATGCTTATTTCTATATTATGACTTGTACTATGGTAATGCAGAGTGATTTCTTAAACTGCAGCGTTAAGATCTGTGGAGCACCATCTAAACTTGGACAAGCTTTATGTCTTAGGCACCAATTGTGGTAATTGAAAGTTTATAGTATCTTATTTTATTTTATTTTATTTTATTGTTCTTTTTAATCCTTGCAGCTTTACTTTTACGAAACCATGTTAGGAAAATCTAGCTAATACCTATGTAACTTATGAACAGTTCATCTGGAATTTTGTTTTATTAGATATTCACCTATACAAAATCAGTTTTCTGTACTAAAAGAAGTTGAATGATTTTCAGCTAGATTTGCTATCAGTTACTATGAGATTAGAACTATTCGAGGTTATGCACTTTGGTAACAGTCAGGTTTTATAGTTTCATCATTGCACAGTTATCTCTTCTAAATTCATAGGCCTTAGATGGATAAGTGATAAGCACAACATTAGTTTTGACTGCTTAGTACCTGAATTATGGGACATATCTCAGTCATTATGAACACCCTTATTCAACAGTTGATAATGGAACTCGAGAAGGTCTTGATAAGTTTCTAAAGGCGGCAAGTAGTGATCCAGAAACTGTTTTGCATTACGAGTTTATGCAAGATTACAAGGTTTGTGCTGAAAAACTCTTTTTATTTGTTCTCAAGTTATGCATAGTAAGATATTTGTTTGTGGAGTGAAGCATATCATCGAGAACAATATTCTGCACATAGTTCTTATAGTAGTAGTAAAGTCTCAATGTATTTAAATTAAGGAGAGGTGTGAGCTTTAGGTTACATGGTGCCCTGAGGTTGTACTAATGGTATATCCCTTGCCTTTCACCTTGAAACTATCTAAAAAAGCTTACATTATATTTTTGCGGTTGTTAATTGGCCGTCATTGGGATAAACAGTAATTATAGTTGTTTTTCATTTGTTCATAATAGATATCAATAAATTCAGTGGCTAAGCCATTTATCTTAAAAGAGCTTTGGACTAACATTTTATATCATCAATCCAGGTTGATGTCTAATTACTTAAATGTTAATATTGTGCTAATTTTGAGTATTTGTTCAACTGCTTGTGACCCATATCAAAAGGCATGATATAAATACCAAAAACAGCACAATACACCTTGTTTTGTTTTCTTATATGGCTATTGTTATATTCTGCTAGGTCCACCTAAAGCATATGGATGGCCATATTGAAGAGGTAACAAAGTTCTTGTACTTTCAATCTGCTCTGGTTCTTGCATTCATCCTGCTTCATCCATTTCAACTTTTAACTAAAGCAGGTTCCTTATTTCTGTCTACCAGCAAACGAGTTAGTTGATGTCATTGCTCCATCTTGCTATAGGTAATTTCCTGTTGTCTCCTTATGATTTAACAAATTTGGCCTTTCTTTAGGCAAAATGCTTGGTAGAGTGGAAAAGTGGAAGGATGGATAGAGGAGAGTGGAAAAGAGAAAAGAAAATGAAATTGGGGTGTGCTTTGCAAGAGAGAAATGGGACGAAAGAAAATAGGAAAGATGACCATTTCCGCCCTTATTCACGGAAACAAATCATTCCTAATTGAAAAGATAAGAGGAGAGATAATGAAAGAGGTGTGAGTCAAGTATGACATATTTACAAGATTGTCTATCATGTTTAGATTTTATTTTTCCATTTTAATTTACAAAGGCTATAATTATAAAATAGTATAAATTTTATTTTCTTTCCAATTCTCAATTCTACCTAGCAATAGATGGAAAGAATATTTGCTTTCAACTTTTCCATCTTTCCTACCAAGCACACTAATAGAACGAAATTTTTTCTAAATGGTCATATAAATGTTTTCCATCTTTCCATTTTTCTCATGTTTCAATTTTCTATATTTCCCTTTTTCTATCCATCCTACCAAGCAAAGCCTAAAAGTTGTGTGGGCCAAAAATTTCTCCAACTGTCGTTGGTACGTCTTACTGTTTCTTCATGAAAAGGTCATCTAAATGGATGGAATGATATAATTCTTTCTAGTTATTAAGATATGTTGTAAAACTATTATATCACGTTTATCATCACGCAGAACATTTTTCTAACTAGCCAAAGTTTCATGTGTTTTGCAGCTGTTTTGACTACACAAACGCATTAGCAGTGAGTTTTATTTATTTAAGCTAAGCTTATATTCTGGATTTTATAACCTGTGCTAGAGGATTACCTCTGTTATTTACTTAATATCTTTACACGGGAGGGCAGTGAAATTACTTTCGTTCATTTTATGATGGCATGGTTAAATAATCGCCTCTAAATCTAAGTTGTCTATGGATTCTTTTAGTGCAACATAATTAGATTTGTTCCTTATTTGTTATGAGAAATCCGTGAATCATCTACTTGGCTACAGTCAAGTTGTTTTTGCATGATTGCTGAGAACATGATTTGACCTATAGTTGATCGGAGTTTAATCAATCAGTCTTTGACCCTTAACTCATTTTTTTTTTCATATTTCGGTGATTAGTTCAGTTCTTAAACATTGGTTTCCATTTCTTTATTTTTTAGAAGGAAAGAGTTTTATTATGTTAATTAGTGAGTTATTAGTATCCCCAATCCATGCAATTCTTTGCCTCCATCTCTCTCCAGGTTCACCTGGTCAGGGGTTTTCACAACTCTGATTAACCGAAAATTGCTGGCATGTTGCTAGATATTGTACTACACACACTAAGTTGATATCTATGTCGGATCTTGCGAGGTTAATATTTGATCATAGAGGCTCCAAGGAAGTTTTCTTGCACTTGTTGCTGACTTGAATCAACTTGGAATAATCCTTTCTTTTTTGGCCAACGCAGGATCTGGTGGTTGGATATATGGGTGTACCAAAATATTCTGGAATCAGCATGACACAGCACCCTCAATATGTTACAGTCAGGTACCTTATGATGAAGAACTCTCTTCCCAGTTTTGGAAGAATGTTTATTTTATATCATAAATTTAGGAAATAGGATTTACTTCGTTAGTAGACTTGTTTTTTGGGCTAAGTTGGTTTAACTTTTATTAGTCTTTATTTGGGCTAAGTGGGCTTTATTTTCCTATGGGTTTAAAACTAGAGTTGTGAAACTTATATGTTTAGGTTTTATAATGTTTGGAGATTTGCTTTTGATTATTGAACAATTTTGAATAAAAATTATTGAGCTAAATTACTTTATGACATCAAGTTAACAAGCTGCTCGCTAGAGCTAGCCACTTGTGCCCCTCCTCTTTCATCTCTCGCCATGCATTTCTTTTTTTGGTTTTATAACATTGACATTATCATTTTCATCTAGTTTTTGCATTCTTGTATTGGTAATGATACTTTTGTTGCTTCCAATCTCAAGAGAGCTGATTTCTCATTTCAATGCTTTATACTGTAGAAATGAGCGTGGCAGAGAAATGCTGAGTTTGGTGGAGAACCTTATGGAAATCACTCCAACAACTAGTAGTGTAAAATTCTAAGCTATATCCTCTTGAGCTGCTATAAGATTGGGGGAAAAGAACTGATTTCAAAAATTTTTTCTTCAGGGTAGCCGGCAACCATTTGTTATGGAGACTGTAAAAGCAGATGATAATGCTAAGTTGGGTATGTATGATGTCTTCCATTTAACCATGAAAATTATTTTCGCTTCAGCTGCAGTTCATAAGCCTGACTTTCAAGGAAATATGGCACAGGTCTTGTGAATAAATCAATCTATGCTGCTAAGTGAATTATTTTCAAGCTTATTTCTGTATATTAAAAAGTAAAACTGGATATTAATTTCTTCATACAACTACTGCAGATGGAGTGTATCGAGTACTTATAGAAGTTTTGATATATATAATTTTTTCTTCTTATTTTGTTTTTCTTCAAAATGAACTAAACTATATTTCGATGATTCACAGCCACCACACTTTATAATAATTTTGTTATTCAGGCATTTTTTTTGCCTTCAGGAAAGGGTCCTTCTCAACCTGCACCTAGGTTTATTGGAAATTTGATAGCTTTTGTCCTAAACTTGGTAAGGGATTTTTCCATGTGATGCAGTTATTCTGAAAAGCCAACTGAATATGTAATTTATTCTTAATTTTTCTCTTTTTTTTTTTCAGATTGGACCAAAGGGTCTGGAATTCGCCCGTTATTCACTTGATTACCATACTATAAGGAACTATTTGTATGTGAACCGCACCTGGGGAAAATCAAGGTATGATCTACTGAGCAACTAATTTGTTTTGTGCCATCAATCAGGATTGCTATTAATTTTGAAAATGTCAAATACATGCAGAGCTGATAGACACATTCCTTCATATGCAAAGAAACTTGTGGATGGATACAACCAGAATGGTCAGATTGATCAAATGCTTACCCATGAGTAACCTTTCAATGGTGAAAGGTTCCCTCCATGATGTGACATACAAATTTATTTTAATGAGAATGCTAGTGTATTATCTGATGATATTGTGATCTAAATGAAGTCATGTGTACATTAGGCTATATCAGTGTCTTGAGGCCTGTTAGTTGACCAATGTATTAGTTACCCTTGTATAAAAATCACTTTGGTTGTCAATGTACCATCTTCCTCTGTATCCTCCTGTCCTGCATTACTGGCTGGGAAATGCCATATCGGCTGAGAAAATAATGGTTGCCCGTTTTTTGGTAATGTAGTGAATCGTGTTGGTTTCGGGAAAACTAACATAGTCTTCATAAACAAATGTTTTCTTCTATGAAATTTCTTGTTTTGTTAGTGAATATTTTATTTCCTAAAAACAAGAATTAAAAAAAAAAAAAAAAAACATAGAAGAGTTGCAAATCGGAAATTTTCAATTATGGCTCAATCTCGGTTCCAAATCCCCCCCTTCCCCTCTTTCCTCAGTTAAAGCAAAGAGTTGCAATAAGTAAAAAATGAAATGACTGAGTTTAATTCAATGATTCATTGAACTATTTTTTAATCTCTTATGAGTTGAATGCGTAACTTTGACAAGGTTTTATGAAAATCGATTGACATTAATTGATAAAATCAACTTTTTAATCTTTTGGTTGGTTTTATATAACATTAATTGATCAGCATATGAGACTCAATCAGCTGGCAAGTTTTGAGTAGCACATTGTATCCTGCATTGTCTCTTCTCTTAATTTTTTTTTCTTTTTCTTTCAGAAGTACTGATAAATTGAGCTGACATTGCTTTGTAGATTGGTTTTATAGTTTATATAATTCTAAAGTTGTTTCGTTGACATTGTATATGCACATGTTAAACCATCAATGAAATTCTAAGAAGCAACTTAAATGTGAGGTTCTCAGAAGCAAAGTTACATTTTTGGGTATCCATCAATGTTGAAAATGATATTCTGCAACTTGTCTGTGAGGTTCTGAGAAGCAGCTTCTGTTGTTTATCTAGCATGGTTTAGCCTAACACCATATGGATTGATCTTATGATGATTTGCACTTTTTTTCTTATGGATTAAAAGGCTTGCTTCTGTTTGTCGTCCAGTCAAGAGCCATGACTAGTTGGTTTCAGTTTGGTTTGGATGATCCGGCCTGGATGAACTTACTGACTCAAAGTTCTGGTTGTTTTCTGTTGGCGGGTTTTGATTCATAGTATCTAAGAATGCTTTGGTTTAAATATTTAAATGTGCTTCTTTTTCATGAAATTTTGGATATTTTCTTTCAATAAAGACAGAATATTTATAGGCTAGGGAGCTTTTAATCCTTAGAAGTTAGAATTGAATTAATCATGATTTGAGAATTATGTTTAAGAACACGGACATGTTAATATTTTTGCTCTCCAGTTACTTGGAAAAAGCCCTCTGTCTGACATCAAAATCTGAGGCTCAAAATGCATTAAATTATTTTTTTTTCTCTCCCATTCATGCATGCAGAAGCAAAACATGCATTCAATGCATAGAAATGCAAGTATATATGCATGTATCTATCCATTCATGACAATAAAATGTAGAATTACTATGCAACAGTTATCAGTAGCTAAAACAGTCACTCTTTTACTATCCAACAAGAAGGAATGGGTCTTTGCCTGCCCCGGAAGTGAGAAGAGATATAGGATATGACCATCCCATGTGATCTTGTTTTCTTGGTAGCTGTGATGTCCAAGTAAGGGGTTTAGGAGTAGTGAGATCATACATGCACGGTTGGAAGTTTTAATGTTGCAGGCTAGAAGAAGTACAATTTTCAGACTGTCAAATCTTTGCCTTTTCTTTTCCTTTTGCTTGAAACTAGTTTAGCAAGAAAAACCTTCAGATGGTTACGAGGAATGAGACTCAGTACATCAAATATTTTATATGGAAGATTAGATTATGCGGTGTTGAAGAAATTCTGTAGGGGCCATTGAGTTAAAGGTCGTTCTACAAGTTTGAATCAACAGTATGGGTAGTCATATGGCGTGTCTATTTCTTTTTTTTTTTTTTTTTTTTTTTTTTTTGTAGAAAGTGGAAGTTTTCTCCTTACTTTTCAATGTCAAATGGGAAGCCAGCTCTAGTTGAACCAGAGTGGAGAAAAAAAGGTGAATCATGGGAAAAAGAAGAAAAACTTTGCTGCATTTGGCTGGATTGTAGTTCTGAAAAGACATGCTTAGCAACTCCTACATATATGATTGCTTATTATACTTAATAGGATAATCTTATTCTTATACTTAATAGGATAATCATTTTCTTAACTTTGGCTTCCTAGAAGTTGCAATTCAGAGTTCCTAAACAGTTACAATGTTAAGCTAATGCAGCTAAATTTCATATGCGTAACTCAAATAATTATTATAATTAGATTTGATAATTTGTTTATGTATATTACGTTTGATTTATGTGAAATATGTATAAAATATAAAAGTTAATATATTATAATTTATTAACATATTAAATACATTTTTTTGACTAAATTTGTATATGATTTTTATCGAATTTAAATTGTGTTTTATTTATAATTTTTTTCATATAATTTTTTTATTAGATTATAAATTATCATATCTAATTATAATTCATGATTAAAGGGTTGGATTTTTTTTTTTCAGTGAAAACAAATAATATCAGCTTGTTTTGGCTTCAAAGACATAAATATAAGGAAGGTTTCTTACAAGGGATATTTCGTTGGATGATTATTATTTTTAGATGATTATTTCTTAAAGAAGTATCATGTTATTTATACATGAAAAAAGTAAAGGATTAGTAATCTAATAAGACAAGATTAAGACAAAGTAACTTTATAAGTGACTTAGGATAAGATTAAAGGATGGTGAGTCATAACTTAAGGTACAATGACTCATAACTATGATACAAAGGTTCATTATTATGATATAGTGACTCATCACTTAAGGTACAGTGACTAAGCACTATGACTCATACTAAAGTACAATAACTTATTATGACTTGACTAAGACATAAAATTGATGAAGACTTGACATAAGATTATTTTGATGTGAAGACATCATTATCAACTTCTGTAAAATCTTCTGGAAAAAACTGAAATTAGCACACGTAATTATACAATATTTAGACTGAAAAAAAAAACTTCTATCTTGTTATACCATGAGTCTCATCATTCTAAGATATCTTCTGAAAAATCTTCAGGATACTAAAGAACTAGAGAATCAACAGAGACTAGATATTAAATATTAACAGAAAGTTGAACCTGTTTGACTCAGAGGCATAGGTACGTGTTCAATTCAAGGGCATTAAAATCTACGATTTGATGGTTGGGAATAAATAATTAGCATAATCCATTTTCATGTTTCGTGAACTAATTTTAGAAGATGAGAACGAGTTTTGTTACCATTTTATCACCTGCAGATAAAGAATGAAAAACTGTTCAATCTCTCGTCTGTGCTTGCACCTGCATTGACACACTTCATTTTTCAGAGATTAGATTTTCCTATCCTTTCTTCTCATTGTGGGCTTTAGCCATGTTTCTAATTTTAAAAAGAATCAGTCAGGATCAAGCCATGAGGAGATTTGTATTGCTATGATTAATGGAAATGGGGTCCACCACATTTAATGGGCCCTAGGTGAGTAGAGCCCATCAATTTGTAGTTATTAATGTCTGGTTGGACCAAAAAGAGATAGGAAAAGGGCTATAGGATTAACTTCCCATTTGATTTGTGAATTATTAACGTTGTGGTGCAAAGGTTTTTTAATAGAATAGACCAAATACAAAAAAAAAAAAAAAAACAATAAATTAGCCTCATCTTCCTTTGTAAAAAAAATTAATAAAATGCCTACTTATTGGCAAATCTTGGGGTTTTTTTTTTTCCTTCCAGGAGAGAGCTACTTCCTGTGTTATGTATGCTCTACATTATTTTCTACACAAATTGATCATAGTTCTGATCAATCAATTGCCAAATAAAATAACTAGAGCAGATTTAAAAAAAAGGTAAGAAAAAAAGTTTTCCTTAACATTATTACTTCAAAATGGTCTTAGAGTTTTAGAAATGTGATATGCATCTTCAATGCCTTGCTGCCATAGATTTTTTCTTCTGTTTTGTTTCTTCTTTCCAGCTTTTGGCAATGTCATGACCTACACTGATGGCGTCCAAAGATGCACCAGAAAGTACTCTCCTTGTGAACCCAACTGCATATAGCCCGTCCTTGCCTTTCCACCCATTAGGAAATGGATTCTTTGGGATTCCATCATTTGAAAAGAATTCATTTTCCTGTAAATCACAACCGTTCGGAAAACAGAGAAAATTAGACTTACTCATCTCTTATTTAGAAAAAAAAAAAGAAACATTATTCAAAAATAATACAGCCATGTCATCCGTTGATAGATTGCTAAATTTAATTTCAGTAACCAGATTCAAATTCTAATAGCCTCAAATATATATATTTAAAAGAAATATGTGTTGCGAAGAAGCAGAACCTAAACTACTTGACAGATTGCCAAAAATCCGGTTGACAATAACCAAACAAGGAAAAATGAAAACTGCCAGGTTCTGCTTGTTTGTTAGATATCCAAATCATAGATGATAAGAAAATGACAGAGTGGGGAAAAAACCTTTCATTTCCCTTTTTTTTCTTTTACCTTATTTTGTTTACTATGGGAGACAGAAGCAAGTTAATCCATTGTTTCCTATTATTAGTATACAACACCTAATCTGAAGAAAAATACAATTTGATAACTTAAGAAGCTTCTCAAAATATTATAAACTAATCAGAATTTTGATCCATGAATAAGACAAAAGCAAACCATCAGACAAGACTAACAATGGTGACAGCGGTTCTGAATTTTCAAAAAACATGTGAATGTCTTAATCAGTTAAAAAGACAGTAAGTATAAAACAAAAATAAAAGGGAGGAAGAGAATCTAAAAAGAGAGTCACAGCGTTCCATAACTGTCACATGAATCCCAGAACAGAAAAAAAAAAGGAAGAAAAACACATCAATCTGAAATAATTAAACATAGAGAATTTGCCTCACCTTGAGCCATGAAGGAACATTGCTTCGATACCCAGTTGCAAGAATAACAGAATCGATGTTAAGAGTTTCTCCATTTACAAGCTCAACTCTGGCCCTGGAGAACTTTTTTATCCCAGGGACAATCTTGATTTCTCCAGATCTAATCTTCTGTAATGCACCAATGTCCAATACAGGAGTCTTTCCCGCAGTGTCTTTGAGCTTTAAAGGTCCTATAGAAGGCCTTTTCAGACCATATTTTTCAATATTTCCAAGTATTAGACGCGCAATAATGAGCATTATCTTATCGACAAGCCACAGGGGTAGCCACTTCATCATTGTTATTGCCAATTCAAAAGTTGATTTACCAAAAACTTCCTTTGGCAATACATGGACCTGTTGATCAAGTAAAAAGGACATGGTTATCTTTTGAAATATTTTTACTCATAGCATACCATGATTCGGTGAAATATTTTCACTTACCGAGCTTCGAACAACCATTGATGGATTTGCATTGTGGTTACGAAGATCCAGAGAAATTTCCATGCCCGAATTGCCACAGCCAACTACTAGAACACGCTCTCCACTGTAACTTTGACCAGATTTATAGTCACAAGCATGTGTAACATGGCCACCAAAATCTTGCAAGCCTTCAAATTCTGGAACTACTTTCTCTGCATTCTCTCCTGTGGCTACTACAAGCCACCTGCAAATATATTCAACTTCAACAGGATTAGGCCCGCCTGTTGAAATGGTTCTGACTCGCCACAGACCAAAAGTTTCATCATACTTGGCAGATTGCACCGTCTCATTGAAATGTGGGTTTATATCAAAGTGTTTTGCATAGGATTCAAGATAGTTTATGAACTGATATTTGGTGGGGTATTCAGGGAAGTACTCTGCAAATGGAAAGTTGGGTAGCTGGCAAAATTGTTTAGGAAGGTGAAGCTTAAGGCGGTCATAAGTTCTTCTCTGCCAAAGAGGGGCAATGCAGTTTGCTCGTTCAAGGATTATGAATGGCACACCTTCGTTTTTAAGGCCAGCGCCAACAGCAAGACCTGAGGGACCTGCACCAACTATCACAGGTCCATTCACCCATATGCATCGACGACTGAAAAGGTCCTCAGGACCAAATGTTTGAAACATGGTCGGTACGTTAAAGCAGGAGTTAGACATGTGTGTATGTCTGACTTTTTGGTATGGTAAAAGTTCGAAAAATAGATTGAGAGGGACAGGTTTTGAACAATATTTAGCAGCCAAATTTTTGAGGGAAACACAAAAAAGAAAGATTAGAAAGAATAATGAAGATATTGTTTTTAGGGAAGGGAAGAAACTGGTTTGTTATGTATATGGTAAGATGGGCTAGGACAAGGAGTATGCAGAAGAGAATAAAATGGAATTTGTTTGAAATGATGTGTGTGGAGAAGGAAAGAGGGATGGAGGGGGTTAAATAGAGAGGGCCTTGGTCATGAGAGAGAGTAGCATGTGATTGGGATTTGAAAACGATGCTTTTAGGGTCAGCCTCAAATGATAAGCTTCCAGCCACCTGCTATTATTTATTACTTGGATACTATGCATAATTAAATCAACCCCAACTCAAATATTTTATATGAGTTTCTCATACTTACATTTATGGACTTGTTAGGGACAAGCCAATGGACAAAATAACAAATAATCAATCAAGAAACACTGCTGATCAAAATTTTTAGCACATTCATTTTATATGAAAGTTATAATCTTGGTTCCTTGCAACATAAGAAATGAATATATCCTAACCAGAATCCTAGTAGAAATTAATATCAGTTTTAAAGGAAATATCTTTCAACCTAATTACTCTAAGCTGTAGAGCATAGAGTAACCAATTATTAGCAGCAAGCCAGCTTTCTGTCTGTATCTTATGCAAAAGCAATGGTCATATTATGTTTGATTTATATAACAAGGACCTTTCAATCTCGGTTTAAATTTTTTATTTAATAGGGAACATCACGAAATTCACCTAAGTCTTTCCCTGGTTGAAATGTGGCCTTATCCGTCTAGCTTCAATGCAGGCTTAAGCTTCACAGCTTTCAGTCCTGAGGTCCAGCTCTTCTGGCCAATCTTTCTGTTAAACTTGCTTTCATTAATTAAGATGATATTGCTGCCTTGAAGCTTCAAAGAAGTCATAAACAGGGCAAGTTGGATGCTAAGTAGTAATTATATATCTTTACCTGCCAAATAGAATGTTTAATGAAGTCTATATGAATGACTAACACTTAAATAGGCCAAGAAATCTCCGAAAATTATTCTCGAGGGAGTTGAGTTGACCAGTGGCTGCTGCAGCCATACATGGTCTTCACGAGAAATTCATTACCATTGGTGACATTTGTACGTGTTCTTGGATCAACTGCTGGTTTCGTTCAGTTTTTGAGTAGTCCATCCCGTTGAATCTAGGAAAGATGCTCCGAGGGTTCACTGAATACTCGGAGGTTGGTTGAATTCTTAGAAGAATCACATAATAAATGCAATGAAGGGGCCAGTAAACTTTACACCCTGTAGATAAACTTGGTTCAGCTGCAAAAAAACTTGTTCTAGTACTGTAATTAGCTTTTTTTATTTTTTTGGCCAGAGTACCAGAGCAACCATTTAAATGAAGCCAAACATTGACCAGGATCTTTTCCACTTCATTTGGACCAACAATCAAATCCTAATTTTACTAGAAATTTAGAGTGGTTAAGGAAATATTTACCTATCTCTGATTTGGTAATTCAAGTATTGAGTTGATTTATCTCGAGTGATTGGCTTACCAAAGCAACACATAATTAAATTTGAGCTTTGAAAATTTTCAAAGAACACCATGTTTGACAACTTTGTGTCAAATTAGCAGAGCTCGAGTTCACATTCTAAGATCAAACTGAACTGAATTTTCATAGAGCTAATTCCAATTTGATACAACTGCTCCAGAGCCAGGCTCAAGTTGATGCTGTTTTGACCTAAATTCACATCAATCTGACATGCATGTCAAATTTTATTAGCAAGTTGAGCTTTAAGCAACCTTTGGCCAACTAGGCTTGGTTGTAGCTGCTAAACATCACCATCGTTATTTTGAATGTATTATGCTGTTCTTGGTAAAATGCTATATTAGTTTGCAAAGCCACATTTGTCTCATGAACCAGGTCTCAATCATCAATTGCAATTCTGAGCTGAAATTTTTGCCTTTGTTGCATGATCCTAAGAACTGGATTAAGCAGAGACCAATTACCAATTAACAGTACATCTAGGCTTCCCCTTTCTGGATGAAATAGTGATGGGTTACCCTATGATACTCAAGAGTTTTTACCCTGCAGGTTTGATTATCTTGTATTCCAAGGAAATGAGCCCTACAAAATCACAGTTTCTATGGCCTAAAAACGTTTTAACTACTAAATTATTGAAACCAAAACAATCTCGATGTCATGGATCCCAGCCCCAAATGGAATCACATTCCACAAATTTTCAAATTCCAATGATGTTTTAGATGGTTGGACCCATATTCAAGTGGCTACACATTCCACAGACTTAAAGAATTCAGGAAAACGCGTATTGGGTGAAGAAATTATAATAAACGAAGCCATGGTGTGACACTTGAGGAATTTTGGTTTCTTTCCAATTTCACATAATTTAACATTGTCGCTCTCATCAATTCATCTTTCTGGTTTAATTTGTTACCTTTAAACTGACAAAGCATAAGCAAGTACAACTGCAATTGCAGCTGTTTCTATCCCCTTTTTTTCCAGCATTGCTTCAGAAAAACTTAAAAACTTACAATTTCCTCAAAAAGAAATGTCCTCACATTCTAATTAACTGATTTTAAACAACAACAAGATGCATTAGGAAACCTTAAACTCTCAGGACAAACAAATAGGTTCTGTACGATAATAACTAATTACATTTTACAATTTATGTATTTGTGTTGAGTTTACTTCGTGTTTGTCAAACACGTGTAAAACACAAGAATTGCCGTGTCAACTTTGTGTTAACGAGCCAAACACCTAAGATAATTTTTGGCTTTTGTCAAACCAATAAGTTTTGACTAAAATTTTAAACTACACCGTTTTGGAGTCTTTTTTTTTTTTTTTGTATCATTTATACCATAATAACTAATTATCAGACTTAAAAAGTTTAAATTGATATATAATGTTTAAACATAACAAAAGGGTGAATTCTGTTAATGAAATTCCGTTGATCTCTGCACTACACATGCTTAAGACATAAACCATCATAATCAGGTAACAATAAGTTTGGTTCAATCTCTAGCTAGTTCTGCTGCAAAAGGAGGCAGCTGCACTTAAGACCAGTTGCTACCTGTTTCCAGTTATTCAATTCCAACCCAGTACTGTATTATTGCTAGGTTATAAGTTGATGTTCATAATACAATACCTTAATATTCCAACATTCTTCTTGGCTGTCATGTTCATTAATTAATAATTAACTTCTGAAATCACAAAGATATACTGTCAAGATTAGTTTTATTGAGATTTGCTACTATGAATCCTACTATAAATTTGTAGTTGCACTATTCTTTTTCTCGATGAAACAGCATATTTGGAACTAAATCAACCAGTTATGAAATTAATTTCGAGGCCCCTAGAAGTCCCAAGTACAGGCTGTGACTGTGCTCCAAAACAATAAATTATAGGATGCCATGCCAGAGATAGATATTGTAATGGGCCAAGATTTTGCTGGACAATTAGCAAGGGCTGCAGTTTTCTAGACATGGAAGCTCTAGGAAAGCTAGATTTTGAAAACTTAGCTGATCTTGTAACAACTAGGTAGATTTAAATTTGTATTAGTTAAGAGCTTCTTGAATCTACATATGTACACATCAGGAACTCGATGATCTTAGAGTTGGAATTTGGAACCACAACTATATATATATATATATATATATATCTATGTTCTATGTTCTAATTGCATTGGAACAAGTTGTTTCATGGACCATAGAATTAAAGTTCATTTCTTAGATTTTTGTCAACTATAGCATCAGAAATGAGCGCATCACACAGCTAATTAAGTACTCTACTATTCTTGAAATTCATGACTGATCTTTGGAAAATGTGGTTCATCATTTTCATTGAAAAAGAGAGGTGCCGCACGTGCATGGTGCCATTTGGAGTCCGTCTCTTTTGATCACCAAATCTAGCATATATGAAATACCGCTAAAGAAAATGAAGTTAGCAAACTTGATAAGTTTGAATCTTAGGGCTAGACGAATTTAGGGGACAATGGCAACCGATTGTATTTGGCCAAGTTAGTTTGGTTTCAGTAATTGTGATTTAATTGTTTTTTATTTTTAAAATTAATAATTGAACTGATTGAATTAATTAATTTTTTAAATGAAAATTTAAATATAATATATATTATTTATATAAAAATATTTTTATTTGTATTTTAAGAATGACAAATATAATATTAATTAGTGGCAAAATTATAAGATGAGTTTTATTGGATAAAAATTATTATTTAAAGTTAATGACAAAAGAATGGTGAAAAAATTAAAAATTTTGACTTAATCAACTGATTTTATGTTGATTCGACATTATAAAAAATCAATTAATTTGATTAAATTTTTTAAAAAGTGATCGATTAAATTATTTTCCATCGAACTAATCAAATTTATCCAATGCTTAATGTTAACTACTCTAGTTCAATATTGTCATTAATTCATGCAAGTGGAAGATAAAGAAAATTTCATGAGAAACAAGAGGAACAGCACGTGCATGCATGGAAGGAAGAAGGGACCTAGGCTTCATAAAAGTCTATATATTCTTTTCACGCAAAGATTATAGAGTTGTTTGGTTTCTTCTTGGGCTATATATATTTAATCTAAAAGTTTTGGAATGAGCATTACCATCATTCCAATATTGTGAGTGACGGCCTTCCTTTGCAATACAAAATAATTTTCAAGCAAAAGCATATGAAGAGACATATCTATGATCGATTAATTGCTATAGGTACGATTTGTAATCATTCCACCAACACTTGAGCCAGCTTGGGATATGGCCTACTTCTAAGCTATGTCATATATAAATTCTTCTTCCCCAAAATCCCATTCAATTTAGCCTTGAAATATATAAAATTATTACTAGAAGATTTAAACCTGCAATAAGAGTTCAATTTGATCAATAGACTTTGATATTATATCAAAAAATTGATAAAATTTTAAATGCATTAAGTCAATGTAAAAAAAAAAAAAAAATACAAATTTGAAATTATTAAAAAAATCAAACTCAACAAAATTTAAAGACCCTTGACCGTATTTTAAAAATTTACTTAATAAGATTTTAAGTTGATATGTGAAAATTGCAGAATTAAGTTTTAATTCAATTATTTTCGATACAAATATATGTATGATTATTAGCATGGGGTGGTCACAAATTGTTTCTTTTAATTAGTAAGTACTTATTTCATTTTCTTTAAAGATAGCATAAAGAAACCAACAGGAATTATTTCCACGTGCAACAGAAATGTGAAAGTAGAAAATGTGGCAAAGGAAAAGCAAAGTAGGTTTGCAATTTGCATGAAGATGAAACGAATGTCACAG